GAGAGATAGAAAGACACTTTGGGTTGGTGGCTTGAAGATAGTTGATTGTTGAGTGTCATTCCCAGCATGGATATTTGATGACCTGGGAATAAGACTCAACAGTGAACTATCTGTCTGGGCTCTGATTGGTTGTTTTGCAAATACCATTTGGAGCACTAGAACGAATCAGAGGAATCAGATTTTTTCACAGATGGCTTCAGGAAATTTTAAATGTGTTATGGTGGCAGCAGGGAGCACCCCAGTCTCTGGCAGTGGTACCCTAATTTTACAAGAACGAGTAAATATTAGGGGAAAATGGGGTTGGTCGTCACCCTTTTTGCATTCATTTGAATCCCTCAAAAACTGCGCCGTTAATAGATAGAGTGACCTCTCCTGAGTTAGGGTTAGGCCATATGGCCTTAAAATAAAATTGGGTGTGAAATGTTTTCCACACCACACCCAATCTTAAAGATTAAATTAAAAAGTTACATATTATTCAAACCACCTAACACATCTCCTGCATCAAGAGAACAATAAAGCGCAAAATTATTCCTGTGATCCTCGATATACAATATAGAGAACAATAATACTCAACTCATCCTTATGTAAGTCACTCACTATCACTCATATGTGATAACCAACCACAAAGAGAATATGACAAGCATCCCCAACTGGGATTTCTTGCTAGCGGCTAAGTTAACAACCCCATGTTGAAGCCTATCCAAGAACTATTAGCTGGATATTTACAGTTTGACATAAAAAACACAAAGTCCTTTCACATCAATGTCAAGTGTTTTACTCCTGAAATGACCCTGCAGGTGACCTCTGACCCCAATTCATAAAATTTCAGGGCCAACGTTTTTATACTTATGTAGGATTATTTCATAGACCAGAGTTCAGAATGTGAATTGATTATGAGTAGTTAGTCTATAAAATAGAATACTGAATGGACATTCATTCATTTTATTAGTTTTGGGAATCTGTTAAGGTTACTTTTTTAGGCTGCTCAACCACTGGAAGGAATACAGTAAGTTTTAGAGCAGAGTTGTCCAACTAATCTGTTAAAGGAAAAGTTGTATTATAGCTTAATCAGGTGTAACATTGTAATTACTGAGTTAGATCGGAGAATGCAGTAGCTTTGCTAAAAGAAGTCGGAGGTGAGAAGAAACACAGTAAGCAGTCAGGCAATCGCACGTTCTCAGACTTATTTAGGGGAGAAAATAAAGACGAGCAGCACAATGATCACCCAGACTGCCTAGAAATTGTAATGAATGTTGTAAACAGAGCAACTTTCAGTTTACTTTCACTCTAAACAAAGTGGTTTAGATCATCTGTTGTCTTGTTTCCAATTGTCTGACTGCTTGTGTTAGTGCCTGGCTTCTCTATGGTGATTTCGGCCAGTTGTCAGCAGTTTATTTGGTGTTTACCGTGGGTTTTTTCAGGGCATTTTATGCCTTCATTAGATATCCGACAGTAGAGAGATGCTTGGAAATAATGGGGGGAGAGACCTGGGGATTGGTGGTTGGATGAAAAGCGGGAATTAAGGCACAGCTGGCACTTTAACTCCTAGACCACCAGGGCACGTCGTGTTTATTATGTTCTCATAACCAATAGAAATGATGGCCAAAGCAGTGAATTCTTTTTAGTATTTTGAGACTTTTCACAAGTTTCTAGCCACCATAGTTTCTCCTACACACTTGAAAGAGTCCTACATACTTGAATTGGATGCAAGTCATTAGAATAAGGAAACATCAGAAGTCAAAGTAAATGATATGTTATCTGGAAAGCACACCAACCATTTTCTCAATACTTTTAGCTTTTTTGCCATTTTTTCAGGCTCATAGTGAAGTAAAGCAATCTATAGTATTTTATCCACTACTTTAGGTCTTTCACAATTTTTCTGATACATAGACTTATAACTATTATCACTAGCACTTACTAATTATACAAGAACAAATGTTATATGGAGTCTGTTGGTATGTTTTATTTCCTGATGCTAGTTTTTTGCAGATATCTGTCTGCTATTTGCTGTGCAGACAGAAAGAACAGTCTTCCTGTATGTCCTCTATGGGGTAGATGGGATGTGGATGATTTAAAATAGCATTCAGTACTATACATTCATGGTGGTCAAAGCAGAGTCATGTTAAACTGTCACTGTTATTGCAGATATCCTCACATCCCCCTGAAGGACAGAGTGAAGATAGCTCAAAACTGGTATGATGGGGTCTGCAAAAGGGCTATTCCCCTCAAATGGAAAACAAAGTAAGTGAGTCATTTGCTTATATGCTGTTTACTGCCTGAAACGCTTTGACCCATTTTTTATTTAATCTTTCATATTTTTTCTTTTACGTTTAAGTACTCAATTACGTTTAACTACTTGAACAATTTATCCACAATTTGTCAACATTTAATACTTTTAGCTAACTACTAAGCTAACAATTTCAAGCATTTATCAATAACCTTTAGCTATCAATTTAGCCATTTAAGTGTTAATATTAGAAGTTGTGGTATAGATAAAATACAGTAAGCCTAAAGTAATTAGCTATCTATCTCAACCATCAATTCACTTTTCTGCGTGGTTGCTAGCTATGTAAAGTAGGAGTTACAGCTAACTCAATAAGAGGATATGTACACAAAAATGTGTTGAGCTTCTCTTCAGTCTTTCCATGCACCCCTTGGCAACTGCCAATAAATGCAGTGTAACACATGAGAAATGGAATATGTATACAATGAGAATTTACACTCTTTTTATGCTAAGCTAGGCAAACCATGTTGCAACTCCTGACTCCATACGCCACAGATGTGAAATTGATATCTATTTTTTCTATAGGCAAGATGTTTCTAAAGACGTTGAACTATTTTTTTAAGAATCATAATGTATTTTTCATATGTCAGACAAATATTTTGCTGGAGTCAATCATGGTGATTTTCCATTCATCTTAGCTTTATTCTCATCATTTCGAAATTGCTTACATTTCTCTTAAATTTTGTGTCTTGCCTTCAGGCTGTTGCCATGGTTGCAGATGGAGGGAGACACACTGTTTCTGTCTCAGGCTGCTGATATTGGAGCGTACCATCTGCGGCAAGACTCTGGGAGGCTCCAGCGTAAACCATTTGAAATCTACTCGGGCCACGAGGGTGATGTCTGCCGCTTTGTTCTGACGGACTCTCATCTGATCAGTGGTGGAAGGTAGCTCATGCCCTATTCCTTATTGTGTAACAATCAGAGCTAATAAAGTAACAGATGCCAGATGTTTTACGAAAAATATATGGTAGTCCTTGTTCAACAAACAGTTATGTCCACAGGCATCATAAACTCATAGGAGAAAACCAAACCAGCCAACAGTTCTACCATGTGGTATTGCCGTATCTGGGGATTGGTACTGGTATCGTAATTTTTCAAACGATACCCAGCCCTACCAGTAACACACTGTGTTGGCCAATCAGTTAGATGTAAGTGCACATTCCTTGTCCATTACTTTGTAACATGATCAGGACAATTCTACTGGTTACCTTGTGGTCAATGCAACAGAGGGTAAAATGATTGTTCCTGTGATAACAGCATTCCAGGGATGTAAATACTATCTTATAACATTATTGACCAATGAGTGAAACTGGACACCTGAATTGCTTTTCATTTTCTTACTGGTACCTTTAGCAACACACCCATTCCAACAAGACACATGTTTCTTGCAAAAGGGAGATTTTCCATCTGAACACAGCCATAGCCATTGGCTGAACAAACAAAAGACCTCTTGGCAAAACTCAAACTCCATCTATGAAAACTCCAAGTTATAAAACCTAAAACACTGTTTGTTGGGTGGCACATGAGCAAAGACCATTATGCTAAATGAAGTGTCCTAACAATGAATTTGATAAAAAAAGAATCTCAAGTTCCTGTTTGACCTTGGGAACAGTAGTTAGACAAAGTACTCTTAACTCCAGATCCATTTACTAGCTTTTTGTGGGGATTTCAACCACATTGAACAGTGATCATTGTTCACTTGTCATTGTGTGACCTAGTAAGTGTTGGATTTCTGACTTCATATGCTGTTGAAGGCCATGAAATGTGGTTAAAAGCTCTGGAATAGGCTTGTAACTGGACCTCAAGTTGAGAGGATATCATCAACCCATACTGGAGGATGATAATATATTATTGTTTTTAAATAAAGGCTTCCTCCTGATATTTTGGCTGGTTTAGATATCAGGCTAGTCGTAAAACTAACAGCCCTTTGTCCGTCACAGTGATGGCAAGATCCTAGTCCACAGCAGGAGGAGAAACATGTCGATGGAGTTATCAGGTCATAACCAAGAAGTCAACTGCCTGGACTCTAAAGATGGACTCATCGTCAGTGGATCCAGAGACCGAACAACCCGGGTCAGAGCACATCTACAATTCAGATTTATTAATGTGATACACAGTACCATGGTGTTTAGAAGATAAGACTGGAGCACCTAAACCTCATTGCTTTAAAGGGTTTTGTTTCCATCACTTTATATTCTTCAGAACAAGATAATTTTACATTTCACCTCAGATTCAAGCTTCATTGATGTTTCAGCTAGGGATATCCCAATCAAGTTTTGTTGCCCCTGATCTAATCCAAGTCATTTAATGTTGAGTATCTGCTGATACCGAGTCCCTATCCGATACCTGTATTTTTTTTGGCCTTGTCGCTATCTCGGGGGAGTGTCTCTCTTCAGTGTTTGCTTCCATGCAAAGTTACCCGTGTTAATTTCTGTTCTCTGTACACTTTGTGCGGATTACATTAATAAATTACTCTCCACTGCAATGCTGTCTTTCTAAGTTGGGTAGTTGACGATGGCTGCACCATGCATGAAAGCTTTGCGAGTAAAAACACTAGTGTAACAGCTGACGTAAAACAAAAGATCGGATTGGATCAATAAAGCTCATTTAAAAATGCCTTAATCTGCCCTGATACCAGTCGTTTAGATGGGATCGGGACATCCCTAGTTTCAGCAGTATATGTTTGTACCATAGTATGACTGCTCAAGCATGCAACATGAAACGTTCTTACTGTTGACTTTTGTTTCTCTAGATTTGGACTTTGACTTCCAGCTGCCCCAGAGACACAATTCCCATGTATGACAGAGTGTGGTCCGTTGCTATAAGTCCCACGCTGAGGTAAGCATTCGCTCAGAGTCACTCAGTTAAATAGGATTTCCCCCAGGAAAAACCTTATTGGGTTAAACATGTTCAGATGGTGATATCAAACTAACTTGAGCCTGATGGTGGACCTTTTATTGTTTCAAAGTCTATTTCTCCTTTGAATAATGTTTCTTGTGGAGGTAACCTCTGTAGCTGGGGTCAGGACATAGGTTGAGAATAAGGAGAAAAAGACAAACACATATAAGTTTAGAATGTTGTCTTTGGTTCTAACATTGCATTGCTACAACCTGACCACAAGGTAAAATGTGATCAATCAAACATTCACCTGCTGAGCTGACAGATCCTGACATACTATTGCAAGAAAAAGTATGTGAACCCTTTGGAATTACCTGGATTTCTGCATAAATTGTCACGACAACAGACAAACACAGTCTGCTTCAACTAATACCACACAAACAAATATATGTTTTCATGTTTTTATTGAACACACCATGTAAACAATCACAGTGCAGGGTGGAAACCCCTAGGCTAATGACTTCTCCAAGAGCTAATTGGAGTCAGGAGTCAGCCAACCTGGAGTCCAATTAATGAGACAGGATTGGAGACCAGTTTTGAGTTTGCTATTCTCAAAAAGCATTGCCTGATGTGAACCACGCCTCACACAAAAGAGCTCTCAAAAGACCTACGATTAAGAATTGTTGACTTGCATAAAGCTGGAAAGGGTTACAAAAGTATCTCTAAAAGCCTTGATGTCCATCAGTCCACGGTTAGACAAATTGTCTATAAATGGAGAAAGTTCAGCACTGTTGCTACTCTCCCTAGGCGTGGCCATTTTGTACAGATGACTGCAAAAGCACAACGCAGAATCCTCAATGAGGTGAAGACTTACAAAAATCTCTGGCACATGCTAACATCTCACATCTGCTCTTTTTCTTTAAAGGTTGATGTTTACAATAATATCCTCCACCATTGGCAGGCGTATCTTTATTTCAGGTGAGGCAGCATGCCTTACTGGCCATCCTGGCAGTTATGATATTTAACTGATTTTTATATTTTAATGCTTGTTATTCATACATTGCAGTTAAAGCTGCAATAGGCAACTTTTATAAAAATAGTTTTTTGTTATATTTGCTGAACTTGCTGACAGTAGAACATGAGGCAGATAATCTGTGAAAAGTCACATTCCCAGGGCTTCAAATACAGACGCTTTGGAACCCTGGGAATGAGATTCAACAGTCAACTATCTTCTAGTTTCCAACCCAAAGTTTATCTTTATATTTCTCGGCTCTGATTGGTTGTTTTAGTTTAGGTCTGGTGGATTCTTACGAATGTCATTAGGAGCACTAGGAGGAGCCAGAGAAACTTTTCACAGATTATTTGTCTCATGTTCTACTGTCAGGACTCAGGATATAGTGAAAGTATCAGCAAATATGATCAAAATGTATTGTTATAAAATTTAGCCAGCTTTAATGTATTGAAACCAGCCCAGTATTGGAGACTGAAATTAATATGAAAAAATATGAAACCATCTGTGGAATAGCTGTTATATACACTGAACAAAATTATAAACACAACACTTTTGTTTTTGCCCCCATTCATCATGAGCTGAACTCAAAGATCTAAGACTTTCTCTATGTACACAAAAGACCTATTTCTCTCAAATATTGTTCACAAAGATCTGTCAAAATCTGTGTTAGTGAGCACTTCTCCTTTGCCAAGATAATCCATCCACCTCACAGGTTGTGGCATTATCAAGATACTGATCAGACAGCATGGGTATTGCACAGGGTGTGCGTTTGGTTTGCGTTTATAATTTTTATTTTTTTATTTTGTTCAGTGTATATTTCTATATATTTTTGTTCCTATCAGGTATGTGATTACATTATCAAAACATGGTTTCTAATTCTGTAATTCTTTCTCAGAGTTCAAAAGCAGCAGAGGGCTTGTTGTGACGGTGAAATACAGGCCTGGCAGGTCATCCCTCTAAGAACCAGCTCCCACTTCAGTTCTCAAACCTGCAGAGGAACACTGGGTAAAACACGTTGTGGTCA